ATCATCAGCATCATCATCCTCATCATCGTCGTCATCATCAGCAGCACCATCCTCCTCCTCATCATCATCATCATCAGCAGCATCATCATCAACCTCAACATCAACATCAGCATCCTCATCCTCCTGCTCCTGCTCCTCCTCCTCCTCCTCGCCTCCCCGCCCATCCGCCTCCCTGCCCTGTTCCCTTCAATCCCTCTCCTTGGTGGGCCGCGGCGCGCGGACGCGCGACTTCCCCCCCCCCCTGGGGCTGCCCTTGACCAAAGAGTTCTCATCGCAGTGCCCCGCGTGGCTCCTCCCAGTCCTCACGCAGGAGATCGACAACAGAATTGATTTGCCTCGGCGGCGAGCCAAGGGGGGAAGTGAGAGGAGAAGGCCTTCTCAGCAGGCGGCGGGGCTTCTCAGAAGGCCTCCGGCCTTCTGAAAGGTTTTCTGTGTCTTCCAGCAAGGCGTGCAACATTGCTTGAAAGCTGGGGGACTTCCGAGCCTTCTGAGAAGGCCCGCCCCTTCTCACTTCCCCCCCACCCCGGGCTCGCCGCCGATTGCCCCTAGATGCCAAACATACGCAGCATGCTCGTATTCCCTCGAATTCCATGTGCGGCGCAATGCGTGTGCGGGGGGGCCGGCCGAACTGGCGCGCGGAGTGGGTTGGAAGGGCCGGCCAAAATGCGTAGCGACAGCGAGATTCGCAGGCCAGGCGCATTGCCGCTCATGCAGCTGAGTTGCGACCTAGAGGGAGGAGGAGGAGGAGGAGGAGGAGGAGGAGGAGGAGGAGAAAGAGGAGGAGGAGGAGGAGGAGGAGGAGGAGAAGGAGGAGGAGGAGGAGGAGGAGGGGGGGAAGGGGGAGGAGGAGGAGGAGGAGGAGGAGGAGGAGGAAGATTGTAACGGCTGTCGTTTAAGGCACGGGTAATGTTTTACCGCTTCGTGCCCTAACAATTGTGGCATGCCATGTTCAATTCCAATTCCAAATCAAACACCAGAAAGCACTGACCTATCTGCAACCTAAATCATGCCACCCTGGGTGGTGCATACGGTTTGATATGCAATGCTAACACTGCCACCTATGCCCCGCGTGCAACTGCGGAGACCCCAGGCCTGCTACGGCCTACTATGGTCTGCGAACTATCAACATGTCAAAGCATGAACCTACCTGACCACTCCTCCAAGACGCGGCTGGGGGACGGGGCCAGAAAGAGGAGGAGGTGGAGGAATACGGGAAAGGCGAATAGGATGAGGAAGAGGAGCAATAGGAGTAGGAGACCAAATAACGCAATACCAGACAAGAGACGCCTCTTCCGTACCAAACACTTCGATCTCCCCCCTCCTCCGATTTACATGGGACATCCTCCAATGCGCGGGGGCTGCGTGTCCCATAACAGGGACTGTGCGTCCCATATGCCAGGACTGCGTGCCCCATAGTCGAGACTGCGCGTCCCATGTGTCAGGAATGTGTGTCCCATAGCAGGGACTGCGCGTCCCATTTGCCAGGACTGCGTGTCCCATAACAGGGACTGTGCGTCCCATTTGCCAGGACTGTGTGCCCCATAATCGAGACTGCGCGTCCCATGTGCCAGGAAAGTGTGTCCCATAGCAGGGACGGCGCGTCCCATTTGCCAGGACTGCGTGTCCCATAACAGGGACTGTGCGTCCCATTTGCCAGGGCTGCGTGTCCCATAATCGAGACTGCGCGTCCCATTTGCCAGGGATGTGTGTCCCATAGCAGGGACAGCGCGCCCCATTTGCCAGGACTGCGTGTCCCATAACAGGGACTGTGCGTCCCATTTGCCAGGGCTGTGTGTCCCATAATCGAGACTGCGCGTCCCATGTGCCAGGAATGTGTGTCCCATAGCAGGGACTGCGCGTCCCATTTGCCAGACTGTGTGTCCCATAACAGGGACTGTGCGTCCCATTTGCCCAGGACTAGTGGTCCCATAATCGAGACTGCGCGTCCCATTTGCCAGGGATGTGTGTCCCATAATGAGGAGGGGGAGGGAAGGAGGGGAGGGGAGGGGAGGGAGGAGGGAGGTAGGCAGGGAGGGAGGGAGGGAGGAAGGAGAAGGGGAAGGGAGGGAGGAGAAGGGGGAAGGGAGGGAGGAGAAGGGGAGGAGGGGGGGGAAGTCGCGACTTTCACCGCCCCGATCCCACACGCGCGCACGCGACAGCATCCGCCTCACGCGACAGCGTTCTCGAGGAGGAAGGCGCACGCGCTCTCGCGCGAGGTCTGCCCCTTGGGCCAGGGGCCCCTGCGGATCAGGAGCAGCTCGCCATGGACTCCATGGTGGATGCGAGCCCGGCCAGGCCCCCATGGGAAAGAGAGAGAGAGAGATAAGAAGAAGAAGAAGAAGAAGAAGACGGAGAAGAAGAAGAAGCTTACGGAGGAAACGTTTAACGAAAAAACTCCTCCCCCCCCCCTCCCCCTCCCCTCCCTCCTCCTCCTCCTCCTCCTCCTCCTCCTCGTCCTCCTCCTCCTCCTCTTCCTCCTCCTGCTCCTGCTTCTGCTCCTGCTCCTGCTCCTCCTCCTCCTCATTCTCCTCCTCCTCACCATCATCATCATCATCATCATCATCATCATCATCATCATCATCATCATCATCATCATCATCATCATCGTCATCGTCATCATCATCATCATCATCATCAGCAGCAGCAGCAGCAGCAGCAGCAGCAGCAGGATCATCATCATGGAGTGCGAGGACGGGGCCAGTGGGGTTCTTGCGGCTCGCGGCTGTCCCGGCCCAACTCAAGGCTCCATTGCTGCCTCCTTTTCGCTGCCTCCCGTCGGGTACGCTCCCCCTGGGAACCAGGCATCTGTCGTCACGCTTTTTCGTCACCTGGGCCCCCCTGACCGATTGACACCGCCTGGGGGACCAGCTGTTCATCATGACTCAGTTCCTGGTAAAGCGGGCCTCCAGAGGCCCAAACCAGAGGAAACCTTGGCGCCGCGAGTTTTCCGCCGCCGCCACGCAGCTCACGAGGACCTTCTCATGGCCTGAGAGCGGCGCCCTTCTCCTTGCCGCAGGGGCGCCCTCGAGGGCGCGAAGTTCTTCGCGCTATGCGGTTCGGCTCCGATTCCTCATCTTCCTCTTCTCCCCTGGGGGGCGGCGCGAGAGCGCGAAGTTGCTCGCGCTTCGCGCAGCACGAAGCGCGAAGCTAGGCGCCTTTATCTCCACCTCCGCCGCCGCCATATTTTGCCTCCCGCCCGCTCGTGTACCATTTGCCCTGCAGCGCCCCGGCGCAGGCTGCGACCGCGCTGCGCGTGTCCGCCCGCCAGCGCTGCGGCGAAAAAGTTTGCCGTTACACCTGAGGTCTGCGGAGGAGGGGGAGGAGGAGGAGGAGGAGGAGGAGGAGGAGGAGGAGGAGCAGGAGCAGGAGCAGGAGCAGGAGCAGGAGCAGGAGCAGGAGCAGGAGCAGGAGCAGGAGCAGGAGCAGGAGCAGGAGGAGCAGGAGGAGCAGGAGAACGAGGACGAGGACGAGGAGAAGGAGGACGAGGAGGATGGTGAGGAGCAGGAGGAGGAGGAGGAAGACGACGACGACGACGACGACGACGACGACGACGACGACGACGAGGACGAGGACGAAGACGACAATGCCCCCCTGGCGGGGCGGGATCCACGTGGGGCTGCCGAAGCAGCCCTGTACCGAGTAGACGCCCGCCCGCAGGAGGTGCAGGAGGTAGAGGTGGAGGAGGAGGAGGAGGAGGAGGAGGAGGAGGAGGAGGCGGAGGCGGAGGCGGAGGCGGAGGAAGACGGCGATGACGACGGCGATGCCGACGGCGATGGCATCGACGGCAGCGGCGACCGCGGCGCCGACGCGGTCGCCGCGTTGCGGCACGGCGACCTGGGACGGGCAGGTCGCCGAGCGAGTACAGCGAGGGCACCGACGGCGCAATGGACGGCATTCCGCCCCCTCCGGCATGGCAGCCGTTGACGACAGGCGCGGAGTGGGAGGAGACAGGAGCAGGAGGAGGGGGAGGGCAAGGAGCAAGAATGAGGAGGAAGAGGAACAGAGCGAGGAGGAGCAGGAGCAGGAGCAGGAGCAGGAGCAGGAGAAGGAGGAAGGGAGAAGGACAGGGAGAAGGAGACCGAGGGAGGAGGAGGGAGGAGGAGGAGGACGAGTGGGAGAAGGAGGCAGGAGGAGAAGGAGGAGGATTTCCTGACTGCAACGATCAGACCTTGTATATGCGGAGCTCACCAGCAGCGTGGGACACGAAAGAGGTTGACGGAGGAGGAGGCAGAGGGGGAGCAAAAGGACCGCAGGAGGAGGAGAAGGACAACGAGGAGGAGGGCGAGGAGGAGGAGGGGGGAGGGGTGGCAGTGGGAGAGTGGGAGGGGGGGGCTCAAGTGAGCCAGGTCGACCGATTCCAGAGGGCCCCGCCCATTCGCACCCCCCCTCCCACCGTAGAGCAGTACTCGGTGGCGCAGCTCGGCAGGCGGACTGGAACGCTCCCGCCCCGCAGACGCAGAGAGCGCTCCCGCGCGGCCCCCCGCCTCCGAGGCCTTGGCGCAGGGGAAGCCGCGCGGGCCGCGCAACGGGCGAGAGCGGCAAACACTTCCGACGGGCGCGGCGAGCACGAAGCGCGCACGGCGCTGGCACTTTTTCGCTCACACACTGCACGGAGTTTTCGGCGAGATCGGCACTTGGCCCGCCCTCGCGCGGCCCGAATGGCCCCGCGAACGCTGCCGCTTTCATTCGTCCTGGCATCGCTCGGACGTGTGCATGTTTCCTTCGGCGAGGACCCTCGAGGAGCATCCTTGATCATCTGGCGAAAAAACCACGCATGAAACCGGAAAAAAAAAACAGGGAGTGGACGTCCGAGCGGTGGCGAGTCGTTGCACTGAGCGAGCCAGGCACCGCACCCGCCCGGGAAGGTCACGTCCGAGCGACATGCGCACGGAGCTTGGGCGAATGGGCGGCAGGTCGCCCATATCGCGCGGGCCCAAAAAAATTGCCGAGTGACAATATCTTGGAGTTCTCGTCTCCTCTCTCCTCCTCCCCCTCTTCCTCCTCCTCCTCCTCCTCCTCCTCCTCCTCCTCCTCCTCCTCATCCTCATCCCCCTCCTCCTCCTCCTCCTCCTCCTCCCCCTCCTCCTCCTCCTCCTCCTCCTCCTCCTCCTCCTCCCCCCCCCCCACCTCGCCATCTTCGTGTCGAGGCGGGAGCGCCACTCTCGGGCGAAGTCTGCGCGGCGCCGAGGCGGAAGCGACATGTTCGTCCGTTCGCGCGTCGACGGGATCGCGTGCGAAAACATAGCCTGACGAAGGACCCAACCACATGCAGTTGCGAGTACCGCATTGTGGGTACCGGGTTGGGTGGAGCTCCTTATGGGGCCGCGAAACGCTGTCCTGGGCGGCGTTGACGCATGCGGCCTGTGCCACTGGAGCCTTCGGTGGAAGTCCCTATGGGCCCACGAAACGCTGTCCTGGGTGGCGTTGACGCATGCGGCCTGTGCCACTGGAGCTTTCGGTGGAGCTCATTGTGGGGCCACGAAGCTTTGTTTTGGGTGGCGTCGACGCGTGCGGCCTGTGTCATTGGAGCCTTCGGTGGAGCTTCCTACGGGGCCGCGAAACGCTGTCCTGGATGGCGTTGACGCATGCGGCCTGTGCCACTGGAGCTTTCGGTGGAGCTCCCTATGGGGCCACGAAACGCTGCCCTGGGTGGCGTTGACGCATGCGGCCTGTGCCACTGGAGCCTTCGGTGGCGCTCCCTATGGGGCCACGAAACGCAGTCCTGGGTGGCGTTGACGCATGCGGCCTGAGAGACTGAAGCCTTCGGTGAAGCTCCCTATGGGGCCACGAAACGCTGTCCTGGGCGGCGTTGGCGCATGCGGCCTGTGCCATTGGAGCCTTCGGTGGAGCTCCCTATGGGGCCACGAAACGCTGTCCTGGGTGGCGTTGACGCATGCGGCCTCTGCCACTGGAGCCTTCGGTGGCGCCCCCTATGGGACCGCGAATCGCTGTCGTGGGCGGCGTTGACGCATGCGGCCTGTGCCACTGGAGCCTTCGGTGGGGCTCCCTACGGGGCCACGAAAAGCTGCCCTGGGTGGCGTTGACGCTTGCGGCCTGTGTCGCTGGAGCCTTCGGTGGAGCTCCCTCTGAGGCCACGAAATGCTGGTTGACGCATGCGGCCTATGTCATTGGAGCCTTCGGTGGCGCTCCCTATGGGGCCACGAAACGCAGTCCTGGGTGGCGTTGACGCATGCGGCCTGTGCCACTGGAGCCTTCGGTGGAGCTCTCTATGGGGCCACGAAGCGTTGTCGTGGGTGGCGGTGACGCATGCGGCCTGTGCCATTTGAGCCTTCGGTGGGGGCGCCGTCCCTTCAAAACGATGACCCAACACCACAGGATGTCTGGGAAAAAGTGCACGCTGGTCGCGAGCGGGAGTTCAATTTTCTAGAAAAATGAGCACGGTGCCGAGGCGAGAACGACATGTCGTCTTTCGCGCACGATGTGGGCCCAGTCTCGTTCCCGCCACGCGGCTTGCACCATGGATGACAGGATGTCCATGTTGCGACGACAGTCGTCGATGTTGTTGTTGTTGTTTTTAACGCGATGGTGGGCCTTTTCTGGATGTGGCCCCTATCCGCTGCTTGCGTGGCAGATTTGAACTATATACCAATAAGGCCAACGACGGGAGATGAGGGAGGAGGAGGAAGGAGAAAAAGAGAGCCCTCCGCAGCGCCGCAAGAGCAGAGAGCCGCCCACCCCTGCCCCGCGGGGGCTTTCCTATGGGGGTGCGGGGTCGAGACCCAGTTCTGCGAGGACCCCTTCACGCGAAACCGCGAGGTTGGGAATCGTCTGGCTCCTCTGGAAGTTGCCACTTTGGGGTCGGAACCTGTTTTTTGAAAATCATGCGTCTGGGGTCGCACATGGGAGCCACTTTTGCGCGGACCTCGCACGCGACACCGACGAGTTTGGATTCGCCCAGTTGGGATCACATGCTGCAACGCGTTCCGGCATCCGGGTCGCATCGGAGCCCCCATTAGCCACGCGCCAGCGTCAAGCCGTCGCGAATTGCTCCAGAAGGGGTTCCTTCTAAGGATTGCGAAGAGTTGCCCTCGCCGGTTCGGGACCGACTCTGCAGCCGCAGGCTTGCTACGGTGCCCCGTGAGCACTGACTGTTTGCCGCGCCACGTTCTGGCCAGGCGTGGGTTGACTTCGCCCCCCTTCGGCCTAGCCTGGGGCGCCCTCGACCGCGATGGCACGGAGCGCCACGTGCCCCGACGAGCCCAGTTGTTGCCGTGGAGACGGGTTTCGCCACCGCCAGCTCGGTCCGGTGCGTCACGTCAGAGGAGGGCGAACTGGGACAGCGGGGCCCTCGTCGCCACGGTTGGACCCACCTTGGAAGAGCTGGTACGTTTGGGCCCCAGGAGAGCTCTGGGGACCGATTTTGAGCTGCCGTTGTCTCAATTCGCGCTGCTCCAGTCACTGGCCCCGACCCCGGCTAGCCACGCTTCTGCCCTGGCTCGGGGAGGGGGGGTGCCGCAGCCGTTCTGGTTTGGCGCGCACTTGGCCCCGATCGTCTTGCGCATCACTCGTGTGCTTTCATGTGGCTCCGACTGGCTTCCATATGTTTCCATCAGGTCCCACGTGCTTCGAACTGCTTCCATGCCATTAAACGTGTTCCGTTATGTTTCATTATGTTTCCGCGTGTGCCTATTCGTTTCCACTTGGATATGTCTCCACATGATTCCATATATTCACGTGTGTTTCAAACGATTCCACCCTATTCCACGTGCTTCCACTTGCGTGCCGGTTTCTTCCACTTGCTTGTTATGTTTGCATTCAACTCGCGGGCACCATTGAGATATTGTATAGCTGGCAGTGGATGTAAGGTTCGTGAAAGTGGGCAACATGCAAGAAGAAGATAGTGGGCAAAAAGATAGTGGGCAACATGCAAGAAGAAGACTGGCACACGCTACGAATACACCACTTGAGGGCGGATTGTATGAATTGAGAGCACACGTTGCCACTCCACTCCTGTGGCCAGCGTGGTCTTGAGACCAGTACGACGTCCGCGGACCGTACCAAGACAATGAGGCTGAAATTCAGTCTTGGGCCCCCCGCGGCGCTTGCCACGCCTGATGAGATTGAGTAGAGGATAGAGGTGGGCACATGCACGTTTTGTATACGCACTAGAACCATCGCGCGGTCAAGTCCAAGCTGGTACGGGCGCCAGGGCACGGCGCCGAGGCGGGGCGGCGCCGTGATTAGCAGAACCGAGTGGTGCCGAAGGCATCGGAGTCATTTTTGGGGGTCGCCATAGAGCCACCTCGGCCGAGCAGGCTGGAGACACCAGAGGTCCTCAAGCCAGCTGATGGAAGCCCCAGCTCTGGAGGAGGAGGAGGAGGAGGAGGAGGAGCTGGAGGACTCGTGTCGACGATCCGAGGGGCCCCTTGGGTGCACCGTCGTGGCAGGAGCGGCGAGGGAGAGGGTAGGGAGAGAGAGAGAGAGAGAGAGAGAGAGAGAGAGAGGGCGGGAGGAGGAGGAGGGGGAGCGTGCAACGGCAGGAGGGGGGCGGGGAGTGCGGAGGGAGAGGGGTGATGAGAAGTGGATCGGGAACGCGATGGGGAGCAAGAGGAATATCGAGAAGTGTGCAACGGCAGGAAGGGGGGGGAGTGCGGAGGGAGAGGGGCGACGAGAAGTGGATCGGGAGCGCGATAGGGGAGCAAGAGGGACAATGAGAACAAGAGAAATGGGGAACAAGAGGAACAAGAGAAACAAGAGAGGTGGATCGGGAACGATAGGGGAGCAAGAGGAAGATCGGAGATGCCTGCGCCGAGTCCCCCGTCGCCCTCTGCTTTGGGAGGGAGCGCGCGTGGCCAAATGCTGCGCACAGGTGGCCGACGATCCATGCAGACCCCAGTCGGCTGTGGTTGAATTATGACGCCCAGCCTGGGCCATCTTGTCTTGACGGCGAGCGAAGCAGGAGCGCAAAGCGGACGGTCGGCAGGTGGAGGTTCCGCGGCAGGTTCGCGCCTGAAGGTTCATGCTTGTGAGAGGTTTTCCTCCAGAGACCGCCCCGTTCCCACGAGCGAAGTATTGTTCATCAGTGCTGGGAGGCTCTCTCGCTACCCTCCCACGCATGCTCACTCTTGCTCTCATGATTCCTCCTCCGCCCACCTCTCCCCTTCCTTCATCCTCCCATACACCCCTTTCACCCTTCTTTCTCCTCTTCCCATTCTCTCTCCTTTTCCCCTTCTGTTTCCTTTGCCCCTTCTTTCTCCCTGTCCCCTTCTTCTGCCTTCTCCTTCCTTCCCCCCCTCTTTCTCCTCTTCCTTCCCGTCCCCTCTCCTCTTGGAGGCTATGTGTCTGGCCTCCTCGCCTTCGAGCCTCCCCCCCCGTGCCCTCAGCAGCGGCCATGCAGCCCGGTCCCGGCTACGGCGCCCGGGATCTCAACGCCAGCCAGGCGCGTCCCAGCGCGCTTGTGTCTTGCAGCTGGGAGCAGCGAGCGCGCGAGAAAATATTGGAGAAGAACGAGGAGGAGGAGGAGGAGGAGGAGGAGGATTCCTCGGGCTTCGTCGCAAGACCACGGGTTGTGGGCATGAGGGGAGATGGTGCACGGTCAGGCCAGCTAGCCACTCGCAAGGTATAGCGTGTCGCCAGGGCCGCCGCGGCGACAGGCTGAGCAAAAGTTCCCGACCGTAATGGGTACGTAGCACCCCGCAGTCGCGGATAAGAGTGAGGGGGTGGCGGGGACGTCTGCTGTTTGCGAGGCTCTGAAAAAGCCCGCCGCAAGCGCCGATTTTTCATTAAAGCAATGTGGGTGCGTCGCGGGTTGGGTCGCGGGTGGGTCGCGGATGGGTCGCTGATGGGTTCGCGGGTGGGTCGCGGGTGGGTCGCGGGTGGGTCGCGGGTGGGTCGCGGGCGGGTCAAGGGGTGGGTCGCGGGTGGGTCGCGGGCGGGTCGCGGGTGGGTCGCGGGTGGGTCGCGAGTGGGTCGCGGGTGGGTCGCGGGCGGGTCAAGGGGTGGGTCGCGGGTGGGTCGCGGGCGGATCAAGGGGTGGGTCGCGGGTGGGTCGCGGGTGGGTCGCGGGCGGGTCGCAGGGCGAGTCGCGGTGGGTCCCGCGCGGTTGAATCGCGGGAGGGACGACGCCAAATCACAACAACATCAACAACACAACTAACAACAACACACAACAACAACAACAACAACAACAACAACAACAATCATTTTACCCGAACGCTCAGTGTTCTCCCCAGTGCCAGGGTTTTCTTGCGACACCAGCCAATACCCCCACTTCGTGGGGGGGCCGTTCAAGCTCTACCAAATATCCAAACGACTCTTCGAGACCACCCACACCAGCTTCCCGCCCTATGACGTTGGGACACTTCACTTCGTGGCGTGCGGACGACCCTGGCTACTATTTCAAGGCCCCGCGGCAGCGGCCGACGAAGACGGCGTGCGCGCCGCGAAGAAAAAACGAATGTTCCCCCGCATAGGAATTATTTGTTACAGGGATGATGGCCTGCAGGTGGCGCAACCGTTGTTGAGAAGTTCGAAGCACACTGAAAAAGTATGCTCGCAAAGCCCGTTGACAGAAATGATTAAAAAGTGTTGGGTTTCCTAACAATATCCGCAAGAGCGCGCGGGATGAAATGTTTACAATTTTGTTTTGAAAAACCATTGGTTTTGTTTGGTGTTTTTATCTTAAAATCATTACGAAAACTAAGGTTTTGGAAGGATTTCGTCTTGCGCGCGAATGTCCACTTTACCTTATTTGTTGCAAGGGATTCTTGAAGTTTGGATATGTTAGAGCAAGAAATGTCCACTTTAGCTTGTTTTTTGCAAGGGAAAACCGATCGTAACAACACAACCGAATCCGGACTCCCCCGTTTGCCTGAGACTTCCTCACGTAAATGATGAAAATGAGGCTGCGGCCCTAGGCCGGCGGGGGGTCGTGCACACAGGGGCCGCCAACAATAATTATTCTTTAGAAGTAAAAAATGTTCAACAACTACTAATACTACTACTACTACTACTACACTACTACTACTACTACTACAACACTACGACTACTACTACCCAAACTACTACTACTACTACTACTACTACACTACTACTACTACCGACTACTAACTACTAAACTAACAACACTACGACACGACGACCCAAAAAAAACAACGACGACGCGAACGACGACGACGACGACGACTACTACTACTACTACTACTACTACAACTGCTACTGCTTAAACTAACTACTACTACTACTACTACTACTAACTACTACTACTACTACGACTACTACGACTACTACTACTACTACTACTACTACTACTACTACTACTACTACTACTACTACTACTGCTACTACTACTACGACTACGACTACGACTACTACTAGGTCAGAGGCTGTTCGGTAGCCTGTGTGTTTTCGCATATGCAGTAAGACCCATCGCTTGAGCCAGTCAGAACAAATCTTGCGCCAAAACGGCTACGGAAGCGAGGGAAGGAGGGGAGAGGAAAAGGAGAGGGAGAGCGAAACGCTTGCTTTTGAACAACGGTGTTGCGAACCCATTTGTTGCTCAATGGCTCCGCTGCTTGGGCCGCCTCGGGGGTCCTTCAAGAGCGCCCCAAACAGATGTTGTACAAGAACTATCTCAAAATCTGTCCAACATGCCGTGAGATGGGGTGCCAAACGAAGAACGAGGATGAGGGAGAGGATGAGGAGGAGCACGAGGAGTAGGAGGAAGTGGGAGGAATAGGGAGGAGAAGGAGGAGGACGAGGAGGAGGCGAATGAGGAGGCGGAATGATAGGAGAGGCTGGTGCAGCGTGACAGGGATGGCGAGGAGGAGGAGGAGGAGGAGGGAGATGACATTGGAGAGAAGAAGCTCCCGTCTTTCCGACACCTCCGGAGCTCTCGCATGAATGCAGGCACATGGGACGATTACCTTTCAAGGTCGCACGTCCAGTTGTGAAAGGGAATGCTTGCACGGACATGTGAATAGGGACCATGGGACGGAAGGGTGCATTACAGCATCGTTCGTGCACATTGGGCTTACTCTGAACTTCCTGTTCCTCGTCTTCCTCCTCCTGATCGTCCTACGGGATGGTGCATTGCAGCATCGTTGATGCATCATGGCGTCACTCTGGATATCCTCCTCCTGCTCCTCTTACGGTAGGGTGCATTACAGCATCATTGATGCACCCTGGCTTCACCATGCACCTCCACGTCTTCCTCCCCCCCCATCCTCCTCCTCTTCCTCCTCCTCCTCCTCCTCCTCCTCCTCCTCCTCCTCCTCCTCCTCCTCCCTCCCTCCCCTCATCCGCTCCCCCTCCTCCCCACAGCTTCCATCAACTTCGCCAGCCAAGGCTCCAAAACCATTGAAAAACCAATAAACCCAAAACAAACCCAATTAATCCCTGTGAGGGTCCCAAAAAACTCAAAAAACGCAATCTTTTCGCTACTTAGTCGGCCTGGGGCTCGGGGGGCTGGGAATCAAAAAACATTGGAAAACCATTGAAAATCTAAAAAAATCCAAAAAAAATCAAATTAATCCTTGTGAGGGTCCCAAAAAACTCAAAAAAAAACCCAATGTTTTCACAACTTACTCGGCTTGGGTGGCAGGCCAGCCCCAGACAGACTAAGTTGTGAAAACATTAGGTTTTTTGAGTTTTTTGGGACCCTCACAAGGATTAATTATATTTTTTTGGATTTTCAATGGTTTTCCAATGTTTTTGGATTCCCAGCCCCAGAGCCCCAGGCCGACTAAGTAGCGAAAAGATTGCGTTTTTTTTAGTTTTTTGGGACCCTCACAGGGATTAATTGGGTTTGTTTTGGGTTTATTGGTTTTTCAATGGTTTTGGTGCTGTTATCTCCGACTGCTCCTTCCTCCTCCTCCTCCTCCTCCTCCTCATCATCATCATCATACTCCTCCTCATGGTTCAACGCACGTGGGAGGTTCACACACGCATGGCAGCGGAACAACACATACAACCAACAGCAAACATGAGACACGCAACAGCGCAGCAAACAAGTAGCACAACAAGTTAAACGCAGAACAGCGAAAACACACAGGCTACCAAACAGCCCCTCAGCTACTACTACTACTACTACTACTACTACTACTACTACTACTACTACTACTACTACTAGCTGCTGCTGCTGCTGCTTCTGCTGCTGCTGCTGCTAACTGCTACTGCTAACTGCTCCTAATCCTACTCTACTACTAACTACAACTACTACTACTACTAACTACTACTACTACTATTACTACAACTAACTACACTCTAACTAACTTACTACTAACTACTACTACTACTAACTACTACTACTAGTACTACAACTAACTACTTCAACTATCGTACTAATACTAACTACTACTACTCTACGAAGACGACTTTACTATTACTACTTCGTAAGAACGATTACAAACTACTACGTCCGAGTAGTAGGCAAGTAAGCCAGATCAAGCCGGAGACTACTACTACTAAACTGACTACTACTACTACTATTACGGCCACTACTACTACTACTAACTACTACTAACTACTACTACTAACTACTACTACCTACTTACTAACCAACTACTACTACTACTACCACTACTACTACTACTACTACTACTACTACTACTACTACTACTACTACTATCATTTTAAGACTGTTCGCTCTTACTGGCACGCGTTTCTTGTATTCCGTGTAACCCAACCCTCGATACCCGCTCACTTCGTCTTCGATTACACCCCCTTTCGGGGGAAATATCCTTGTCGGCCACTGACTGAAGTGCGAAGAAGTCTCGAGCGAGAGCGCCGTTCCTGAGTTCGGGGGCCTCTCGTGCTGGGGGTTCTCGGGACACCTATGGAGAAATATCGAGCGGGAGCCCTTGTCGCTGTTTCCGGGCCTCCACCAACTTGCTTGAATCACGGGAAACTCTCAAGCGAGAGCGCCGTTCCTGAGTTCGGGGGCCTCTCTTGCTGGGGGTTCTCGGGACACCTATGGAGAAATATCGAGCGGGAGCCCTTGTCGCTGTTTCCGGGCCTCCACCAACTTGCTTGAATCACGGGAAACTCTCAAGCGAGAGCGCCGTTCCTGAGTTCGGGGGCCTTCTTGGCCAGGGGCTCTCGAAGTAAATCGTGAGGAAGTCTCGAGCGGGAGCCCTTGCCGCCGCGGCTGGGCTTCCGCCAACTTAATTGAATTGCGAGGAAGTCTCGAGCGAGAGCGCCGTTCCTGAGTTCGGGGGCCTCTCTGGCCGGGGTGTCTCGGGGTAAAGTGTGAGAAAGTATCGAGCGGGAGCCGTTGTTGTCGCAGCTGGGCCTCCAAGGGCCCACATTTAGGATCAAGCCAGCGCTCGAGCGGGAGCTTCGTTTTCAGAGAAAATGCAGCCGGCGTCGAGGCGAGAGCGCGCGGAACCGCTTCCGGAGATCAGCAATAATCATTCTTTAGAAATGACTACCCAAGAACAACAACAACAACAACAACATCATCAACAACAACAACATCAACAACCACGACAACGGCAACGACAACAACAACAACAACGACAACAACAACAACAACAGCAACAATAATAATAGCGATAACGACAACAACAACAACAATAATAATGAATTTTAGACTGATCGCTCTTATCTGCTCGAGTGCCCGTTAACGCGTATTTCCCAAACTCTCGATACCCGCCCTCTTCGTCTTCGATCGTGCCCCTTTGGGGGGGCTGCATCTTTCTTCCCTGCATGCCGGGCCCCGGCAAGCGGCGGGGCGGCTGCGGACCGTCGGCCCAACAACAACCACAACCACAACCACAACACCCACAACAAAAACAACAACTACAAAACAATAACAACAACAACAACAACAACAACAACAACAACAACAACAACAACAACCACAACCACAACCACAACAACACAACATTACAACAAACAAACGAACTAACGAACAAACAAACAAACAAACAAACAAGCAAACTGTTTGCGTCGGCGGCTGGGCACAGCAATTGCGCAGGCGGAAGAGCTAACTAAACGGAGGGACCCTTGCAGCGAATTGTGCCACCATGTGAGAGAGAGGGAAAAGGGGGAGGGCGGGCGGCCGAAGGGTGGGGAGAACAAGGCGAGGGCCGCTCATGGCGACGGGTCGCCTGGAGCGAGAGGCGCGGCCGGGCCCGCCGGCGGGGACTGCGGCGGCTGCTGCGCCGGGGTTCCACCGGCGGCGGGGCGCAGTGCGGGTACCAGAACGAGTCCAGCGGGTCAAGTGTGTGTGCGTGATGCAGTCAGGAGCCTGAGTCACCAGGCGGTGGCTGCGCGTTCCCCAGGTGGGGGCGCGGACGGGAGGCGAGAATCGCAGGGGAGGGGCGTGTCCAGCAAAATGCTGGGCAGGCGGAGGCGACGGGCGGCAAAACCAAGACTGGGGCCCCAGCGAGGCGGCTGCAGGCAGCCACCCGGCGCCATGGCGGCGCGCGGAGGGAGAGAGGGCGAGCGGGGAGGGCAGAAGCGAACAGGGAGGAGGACGCCCCGCCTGCAGGAAACCCACAGGCGGTGCGGCGGCGCCGGGCAGCGGCGGCGGCGTCAGGCTGCTCCACACGTCGCACTGAGGGGGCAGCGCGCTGCCCTCCAGTCAGCGGGTGGATCGCAGAGGGTCCCGCTGCCTGGGTGGAGCCAACTGAGCGGTGGGGGCAAGCACCCGACGCAGGCGGGGAGGGCGAGGGGGGCGCTTAACTAGTGCGCGGCGGGAAGTGTGAGAGGCGGCCCCCCTGCCTGGGTGGACGGGGTGGGCCGCTGGGGGGGGGGCGAGGGCGACCACCACCGTCTGGGTGGACCACAGTGGGCGCGCCTTGGGCAGTCAAAACTGTGGCCGAAACCAGCGCCCTCAGCCCGAACGGGCAAGGGGAGCAAGGGCCAATCGCCAAAAGGGGGGGCACCGAACGGGCGCACGGCGATGGAAGTGTGAAAGGCGGCCCCCTTGCCCGGGTGGACAGGATGGGCCGGTGGGGAGGGACAAGGGCGGCCACCACCGTCTGTGGCCGAAGCCGGCGCCTCCAGACCGGGCGGGCAAGGAGGGGCAGGGGCCAAGCGCCAAGCCGGTGCCAGGCACGAAAGACAAACATTCGAAAACAAGCAAAAATCAAAAACAGCAGCACCAACAACAACAAGAATCCGCATCGCGGAATCCCACTTCAGCCACGCATCCAGGGACCGTTCGGCCCCCTCACTCTGACAAGTGAGATAAAGAGCCTACGGCAGGCGCCGATTCTTCTGTAAAGCAATGCGGGTGGGTCGCGGGGTGGATCGCGGGTGGGTCGCGGGTGGGTCGCGGGTGGGTAACGGGCCGGGTCTCGAGTGTCGCGCGTGGGTCGCGCGTGGGTCGCGGGTGGGTCGCGGGTGGGGTCGCGGGTGGGTCGCGGGTGGGACGCGGGGTGTCGCGGGTGGTCCGGGGTGGGTCGCGGGTGGGTCGCGGGTGGGTAACGGGCCGGGTCGCGGGTGGGTCGCGCGTGGGTCGCGCGTGGGTCGCGGGTGGGTCGCGGGTGGGTCGCGGGTGGGTCGCGGGTGGGACGCGGGGTGGGTCGCGGGTGGGTCGCGGGTGGGTCGTGGGTGCGGTCGCGGGTGGGTCGCGGGTGGGTCGCGGGCGGGTCGCGGGGTGGATCGGGGGTGGGTCGGGGGCAGGGTCGCGGGAGGGACAACGCCAAGCAGCAACAACAACAATAACGAAAACAACAAAAACAACAAAAGCAAAAACCAAACCACAACAACAAAAAAGCAAACAAGCAAGCAAGCAAACAAACTATCACCAAGAATCCGCATCGCGGAATCCCACTTCAGCCGCACACCTAGGCATAGTGTATGACCGTTCGGCCCCCTCACTTTGATTATCATCGGTATGATGCTTGATGCTGGTTCAAATTTCCAGTGACGATAATTTGAGAGCGTCAGATGAGGTGGCAGTAAAAGGTGTGTTCGAGGGCTGTCCCTCGCGAAGCTCAGTTTTGACTACTTGCTGAACACAGCGGCATCAGAGTGGCGCCATCATTCCCCAGGTCGTTCATCTAGTTTGGTGCACTCGCGTTTTGTCTTGCTACCGCATCTCCTGCAAAACTGTTAACAGCCAACCCCTCGGACCCCACAGGAGGGGCCAGCGAGTCGTGAAGGCCGCTGTTCGTGTTAATGGTCTCGCTTCCTTCGCTCGTTCGTGTTTCGTATTTTCGTTCGTTCGTATTTCCTTCCAGTTTCGTCCATATTCCGTGTTGTCGCATGTCGTTGGCATTTGCGTTTCGTATGTATGGTTCGTATGGTCGTTCGTTCGCATGTCCTTCTGGACCCCAGAGGTTACAGCAGCGAGCGTCCTGAGAGCCATTTGTCTGGCCGCCCACCTGAGGCACACTCGCAGTCCTCCTGGTGGCACGGCGGCCAGCACGGGGGCCAGCACTACCCGCAGCACTTCGCGCCAACGCAGCGCCTCGACGGGATGCCCCCGCCGCCGAATCCGGTGAGCCCCGGGCCGGCTTTGGTCCAGGGTCTCCCAGGTGGGGTCGGAGCACAGTCAACCCGTACAGTGGGGGCGCGCATCAAGAAACCATATGCTTTTCGTCAGGGTATCCTCGGTTTCATCGCTCCGCGCGCCGCGCGGTGGCTTCCCGCAGTTGGGGAAGGAGCGGCTGCGTTCAGGGCGCTCCGGATTTCCCCTCAGGGGCACCTCGCGCGCGGGTTTTCAGGGTTGGGTTTCTTGCGAGGGTTTCTTGTGGCCGCGTCCACACTGTATACTAAGGACGCACGACAAGGATGCAAGGGCCTTAGAAGGCCATTCCGGAGCATTTCGAGCGGGGCGCGGCAGGAGGCCAGGATGCAAGGGCACCCTCGGGAAGGGTACCCGTCCTTGCTATGCGGGTTGACTGTAGGTGGGGTCGGAGGATCGCGCCGCATCGCCGATGCATCGGCGATGCGTCTCGATGTGGAGCCCGATGTTCTCCACGCCGACATCGCCGAGGCATCGGAGGCATCGGCGATGCATCGGCGAGGCGGTGCAATCCTCCGACCCCATCTAGGAGGCCTTCATTTCGATTGCCATGGCGTCTCTTCGCACCTGGTGGCATGCCGCATACAGTATTGTAGCCACGTCAAATACGAGATCGGCCTGCCAGAGCTGCCCCACGGAAGTCTCTTACTCCCTAACTGCTTTAGGGGCTCGCAAAAGCCAAGGTCGGAAGCTCAAAGATTGACGAAGAATGTGTCCCAAGATGTCTTGAAGTAAGGTTTATGCTCGTATGCGTCTGCTGTAGAGCGGGCTGAGTGGGGAAAGGGAAGGCCATTGCAGTCAAGGCGCCGACATGAGGACCACTCTGGATTCAGGCGGGGCTGTTGTTTTCGCGCCGTTCCTCAAATCTAGGTCGGGGAACCTGTTCGTGACCGAGGCGAGCCATGGCCAGAAAAGACCCTTCGTTTCTTGTTCAGCGTTCCTTCTGGTAGCACGATGACTGCTGCGCGGCAGAAGGTGATGAAAGGAGGAGGGACGATAATCGTTGAGACACTACAGGCGAATCTAAGAAACAGGAAACGAATGCGGGGAAGAGGGAAAGGAGGAGGGAGAGTATGAGAAAGAGGCGAAGAAGGAGGAGGAGGAGGAGGAGGGAAGTGTACACTCTTGTTCAGGAGCGTGCAGGTGGCAGACACGGTGACAGGATCACTCGAAAGATCGCATCGCAGTAGTGTGTCAAGAATATCCCCTCTAGATGTTGCCTGAGGGGTCCTGGCTTATAGTGGTTATCATAGTGTGGCATCGTAACACGGCGTGTTGCTTGCACTTGCTTGGAGTTGGGTCGCGTTGCTTTGCATTGTGTTGCGGTGCGCGGCAGTATTGAGTTGCATTGCATTGCAGTTGCGCTGTGTTGTGTTGCATTGGAATGCAGTGTCCTAAATTGCATTGCATATGCAGTGTGTTAGGTCGAGTCGCACTGCATTGCTTTGCAGCACCCTTCGTTGTAGTGAGTTGAGTTGCGTCGCACGTGCAGTACATCGCTCTCCAGTGCACGCAGTCGAATGTTACAAGCTTCAGTTGAAGCGCATTGTTTTGCATTGCATGAGCCTTACATTGCGTTGTGGTGCGCTGGTTCTCTCTGATGTGCGATGTGTTGCATTACGTCGTGGTTCACCGTGTGCGAAAGTGATGTGCGTTGACGCGTCCTACATGACATCGTGTTGCAACGCATTGGTGATGTTGCATTGCACGTGAGTTGCAACGCATGGCATCCAGTTGCACTGCGTTGCGTGGCCGTACATGTCGTTGTCTCCGATGTGTGTTACATTGTGTTGGATTGCGGTGCTTGCCCAACGTTGTTTGCATAGCGTTGATATGCAGTGGTTTGCGAAGCGTCGGGTTGAATTGCATTGTAATTACAACCCAATGCATTGAAAAGTAAGCCATTTGAAGTGCCACATACGGCGCTGCGATACCAGTTCAGAGCACAGCAAGGCGAGGTCGTCAAATGTGATAGCGAGCTTTCATGCGTGAATGGACTGGTTCTAGCGTGCTCCCAGTGTTAGTCTGTCGTCCGTTGTACATTCAGCCAGAGGCAAATCAGCACACGGAAGCACGACGGAGGGAAGGCGAAGAAGGGAAGAGGCAGCGGACATGGGGGATGGCAGGAAGAGCAGGGAGACGGAGCAGCACTGGTTGCAGCATGATATCGTTTCATTGCAACCGCTGTCCCTCGTCGCTGTACCCGCCTGGGGTGGAGCCCGAGCCGCACGGAGACCCCACTCCACAGACCAGGGGGGGCTGCGGACGAGAGGAGGTCAAACCGAGGAGTGGCCTGCCCAGCAGCACAGCAGCACCCTCCCAGTCCTTCTCGGCCCCCGAATCGCCCAGGCTTGTCTCGATCGCGGGTGTGTGGGAAGTGGGGCAGACTCGTTCGCCGCCTGGCTCGACCAGTTCGGCAGTTGGTAAGGCTTCGGGTTGCGCACAGACAGTCCCCCCAGCTAGTCCAAGCTGGCCTCAACTGGTCACATGGTGGTCCCTGCTGGCCTCAACAGGCCCCCCAATGCAGAAGGTTTTCGCCCCGCCACCGAGCCCAGTCCTCGATACGCGGGCGCCTCCGGGAGCATGGAGCCGCCAGGAAACCAGATACATGAGCTGATTATCTACCTGATCCTTTGTTTTCCTACCCTTTCGTCCCCCCGAAAAGGAGCGGCCCCGATGAGGATTCCTTCGCTGACGAGAGCCGCCCAGGAGGCTTCAGACACTGGAGGATCCTTTCTCTGCTGAGGGCGGCAGTGACATCCGTGGCCACGCCTCAGTACGGTAGGTTTGCGTCGTGTCGACCAGCGGCGACCCCAGCGCGGGCGTTCAAGGTTGAACGCCGCCGGCGACCCAGAATCGATCGATGTTGAACGATTGGACGTTGCGGCAGCGGCCGATCGTTCAAGGTTGAACGATCCCTGCGGTGTCAAAAACCAACGCTGGGGTCGGCACGACACGAACCTGCCGTAGATGTTCCACCTGTTTCCAGACCTTGGGTGCCTTATCTAAGGGTCCCTTATCCAAGGCCTTCAGCGTGTCGGCTGCAGCGCGCTGGCACACCGGGAGTTGTGCTGCGAGCCGTGCTGTCAGGCCCCTCGCTGCTCTCTCTTCGAGCCGCGCCCCTCTCTGTGCCCAGTGCCGTCGTCGTGCGCATTACGATTCCACAGCGGTGGTCTGGGCTCCGTCGCTCGAGCTCGGTTTGCCGTGCATGCGGGTCCTCGGACGCGGAGAGACAAAGACCTTCACCGTAGGCAGCCAAAAAGAGCGGCCCCGAGTACGAGCAGGGCGCCAGGGGCGCGCAGCCGCCCGGAGTGCCCTTCCCGGCGCCCCCGCCGCCGTACCACGGGCAGTCGGCGCCGCAGTACGGGCACTACCCGCACCCTTCGGCGCAGCAGCCCAGAAGGAGGGCGGCGATTTCTCCTCCCTCCTCTTCTCCTCGTCTCCTCCTCCTCCTCCCTCCTCATCCTGCCCCCTACTCCCTTCTCCTCCTCCTCCTCCCCCCCTCCTCCCTCCGCAATTGCACAACACGAGTACTACTCTCCTCCCTCCCCCGAAGACGGCGGTGAGGTGTCCTGGCCTCCTCCGCGTGTTGTTTTTTTCACCGGATGCCGCCGAATGTATGATTAATGTACGTGTTGTCCCATCCGAGCGTTTTCAGTCCTTTCAGAATGGCGTTCCCGCTGCAGCATTGGCTCCATGTTCCCATTCTCAGTCCTTCCAAATCATGTTCCTGCTGTAGCGTTGACCTCATTTCATTTTCTCGGCTCTTTCAAATCGTGTTCATGCTGCAGCGTTGGTTTCGTTTCCGCGCTTCCACTCCATCCAAAGCGTGCTCCCACTGCAGCGCTGGTCTGCTTTCCGCGGGTTCGGTCCTTCGAAATGTGTTCCCGCTGCAGCGCTGATCTCAGTCTGCGCTTCCCGATTTCCAAACCGTCCATTTGCATTTCCCGTCCTGTGTCATTTCTGGTTTCCCTCTGACCTTGTTGTCGAAATTAGTCGCGTTCTCGACGCGATGCCTTGCTATGCCGTGCTACACCCCATGCATCGCGCACTCTCTCGGGATCATTGCACTGTTCGACATCCGACTGTGCCAATAGGGGGGAGATCTACGCAATGGTAGGTTGGGAGGGAAGGGGTAGGACGTCAGGTATGACGTTTGCCTCCTCCACCTCATCATCCTCCTCCTTCTCCTCCATCCTGCTTCTCCTCCCTCCTTCTTCTCCTCCTCCTCCTCCTCCTCCTCCTCCTCCTCCTTCGTCCTCTCCTCCTCCTCGCTCCTCCTCCTCCTCCTCCTCCTCCTCCTACCGCCTCCTCCTCCTCCTCCTCCGCTCCCTCTCACCCTCCTCCTCGTCCTCCTCCTCCTCCACCTCCCTCCTACCCTCATCCCTCCTCTCCTCCTCCTCCCTCCTGCTCCTCCTCCCTCCTCCTCCCTCTCCTCCTTCTCCTCCTCCTCCTCCCCTCCCTCCTAAACTAAAACCTGCTACACCTCCCTCCTCCTTCCTCCCTCCACCTCCTCCTCCTACCTCCTCCACCTCCTCCCTCATCCTCCTCCTCCTCCTCCTCCCTCCTCCTCCTCCTCCCTCCCTCCTCCTCCTCCTCCTCCTCCTCCTCCCCCTCCCCCTCCCCCTCCCCCTCCCCCTCGTCCGTCCGCGCTCCAGCTCTGGGGCGTTCCTCAGAGGAGGGCGAGATGAGACGACGGCAATTGGCCTCTGGGGGGGGGCCGGGTCCCCCGTCGCCACGGTTGGACGCAGCTCGGAATGTTGGTGCGTTTGGACCCGTGGAGGGGCCCGGTGACCGATTCTGAGCTGCCGCTGTCTCAACTCGGCGTCCAGGGACCATCAAGCATGGATGCTGCAGCGGGGGCCCGTGCCAAGAAACACCCTGCTTGCCTCCAGGGTGCCCTGGGTTTCTTGGGTTTCGATGGCTGCGCTCTAGAGAGCGTGACGTACACACACACACACACACCAAAAATCAACGGAGGTCCTGGGGTACGTCCTGGGGTCTCAGGGTTGGGTTTCTTGTGGAAGGTTTCTTGTGGTCGGGCCCCTACTGTAGGCGAAAGGCTACCCTTGGGCAAGGCGTCAAGACCTCTGAGACAGCGCACTCGAAAGATCTCACCTTCTGGTGTCTTGGGAGAGGGCTCCCCCCGCGCGGCGGCTCCCGTCTTCTTCCCCCCCCTGCACGCCGGCCAATTAGCCTTTCGGTTGCCCCGAATAGCCACACGCTGGAGCGGACTGCCTCTGCCTCGCCGCCGACGAAAAACCCAAAAGCAAGAGAAAAAAAAATGTGTCTTGGGAGATGTCCTCGTCTGAGAAGAGTCGAACGGTTGACATTTCGCCCTGTGCGGAGGCCGCCGCGGAGGCCGGGGGAAGCAGAACGTGGGCAGCCTCGGAGGCGAAAGCACGGCGGGAGGCGGCGGAGGTGAGGGCAGGCCCCCCAAGAGATGTCAACGCCGGCGTCCTCACTGCTTCTGGAGCCGGCCGTGTGGTCATCGTCATCAGCAGCAGAATCCGCATCAGTGTGCACAGCCGCCCGTTGCCGCAGGCCGATTGCCAACAAGTTGCGCGGTTGTGCGAGCGCCTTGCGAAGTCTGAGTGCGGGATTCGCCATGACCAGTGGCGCGTTCACGTTACGCGTTTGGCCGTGCTCCCGTAAACCATGCAATGACTGTTGCTTCGCGTATTCCCACCAGCCCATCCAGAAACGTGTCTTGCGAATTGCCTTAATCAGGAAAGTGCACTTAGGAGCAAGCAGTGGAACAAAAAGGGGGTGCAGCCGTCGAACCGACGATCGGGATTAGCCTGAACAGGCCCAGGAGTCAACCAGAAATGCCTTCGCGGATGTTTCGATATGGGAGCCTCTTGGCGAAGTACTTGAACCCGCGTGGGGCAATTCTGAAGGCTGTCGGTGCTCTCTTGGGAACCTCTTGAGGGTCTCTTGGGACCCTCTTGGGGGTGCTGTCGGGACCATCCTGAAGACCATCGATCAAAGACGAGGGAGGTCCTAATGTCATCCCCCCCCCCCTCGGAGTCCGAAAAGTGGATTGTCGGAGCCATCCTGGTTCGCTCTTGGGGCCAGCTTGGAGCCCCATGTGCCCCTCTTCCAGCTCCAGTGGGCGATCTTGGAGCTGTCTTGAAGCTTCAACGCCGATCGGAAGCGAAGAGGCGAGAATGCAAACATCAACTGTTGGCCTTTAGGGTTTGGAAGGGTGTGGGCCTCTCCGGGCATGCTTGGGAGACTCCTTGGCCACTTGAAGCCGTCTTGGAACGGTCATGAGACCTCTTGGAGGCAAATAGGGAGCTATCTTGACCCATCTAGACCTGGTCCGTGCCGTCTTGAAGGCTATCTTGGTTTATCTCTAAGCCCCCTTGGGTCAAAAAAAGACTCTCTGACACCTCGCGGGGGGAGGGGGTAACCCCGACCCTCCCCCAAGGGGAAGAAGGGGGTTGGCATAACTAACGTGTTAAACAACCTACGCCCAGAGGGCTGGCGGGATACACATGCGTGCGCGTACTTCGCATTGAGCAGCATACATGCTGACACGCACCTCGTACGCACATGTATCTTCAGCGCACGATGGATGCGTGCCATATTTTCTTCTTGCAGTCCAACCCTCCAGCGTGTCGCTTCTGGTCTTCCGTAAAGCATCCGACCCCTCTGCACACTCGCCTGATCCTTGAACATTTTCGGGCCTACCCTCCTCCTCAAACGCATTCGGAGCTCTGCGGTGCCCCAGGGCTGGGTCTGACCCAGCCACCCCCCCTTTCCCCCCCCGGCCGAGAAGTTGGTGTTTCGTGCGGAGGCGGCGCCTGTTGCATCAGGGCCCTGGCGCGTGGTTCCGGGTCTTGTGGCCCGTCCGCCCCTCCGGCATCTTCAACATTTGCACATGTTGTTCACCTGTTGGCTGCGCGAATCCCACAACCTCGGGAGCATCGAACAGGGGCCGTCCAGCAATCACGGACCGTTCTCAGACAGGTGCCGATACGGTGGCCAGTGTCGATGTCGGACGTCGCATTGCAGGCACATGGAGCCTGCTTGCAGACCAGAAACCCCGACTCGCACGCAAGCGACTTGCGCAGGATGCCTTCCCAATAGTTTGAGTCGTTTTACTCAGCAAACCGCCGAGATTAGCTCTCGGAGCGAACACAGCGCAGCGCACAGTTGCGTACACAGTTTAGCGCACGCAGCTTAGTTGCGTAAATTGCTTAGCGCAGTCGGGATGGGCGGGATTGCAGCAGCGCTTCCCCACCTCCACAGCAATGTGCCTCAGAGGCCCCACATTGCGAATAGTACGTAGGCGTTGAGCCTAGGAAAAAGTCGTTGTGGTGGACGCCGCGGTTCGGGGCAAGCATGTAGAGGCCCACGAAGGCACATCTTGTGCGGTATGCTTGCTGAGCGGCTTCGATCGACGCCCCCAAGGCGCTATCAGGTTTGCAGCCACGTCTGGACATCGATGGGGTGATGCCATCGAGGTTTCGCGCATCGCTTCGCCGCGCCCTCCTGCCCGACCCGTCGATGGCCACCGAGATCGCCCTCCGGCTCGTTCAGCCTCCGCTCTCCGCTCCCCCGTTTTCTTTGCCCTTGCGGCGCCCCACCCATGCGCTGGCCTTGCCCCATATCTCTCACGCCGGCGCGAGTGGTCTAGAGAAGAGAGGGGCGCGCTCCGAAGGTGGTTCTGAGCGAGCCGGCGCGACGCAGAGGTGCATCTCCCTGTCAGACTCCCTCGCTCCACCTCCCCCAGCTCTGTTCTGTATATGCATACATACATGCATACATACATACAGACATACATACATACATGTCAATGCATCAGTCCTTGTTGATTTCCGTTTGCTCGTGCTCGTCTTGCCGTCGTTATGTTTTCTTTGTTGTTGGGGCGTTCGCCGATGTCATGTAGCAGTCCTGATTGTTTTCCGTTTGTTCTTGCTCGTTTTGTTGTCGTTCAGTGTTCTCTGTTGTTGGGGCGTTCGCCGATGTCGGATACTATTGCATCTCTTGTCGCAGTCCTCCGTTAGAACCCCGTTCTCTTAGCTCGCACCGCTTCTCGCCGAGGGAGAGCCAAGGGGAGCGAAGAGTATAGTCGGGCCGCTGAAGACGGAACCCTTTTCGTTGGGAAGGGGTTCAGTGCCCAGTCATTGTTTTACAGCTTGTCTGAGGTGTTCCTTAGGCTTTCTATTGGAAGTATAAGTTTGATGTATGAAAAATAAGGCTCGTTCCTCATGTAGGGTTCCCTACGACAGCGCCTCGACTGCAGGTCGACGGAGACGTCTGGCCTGGTGAGAGCCCCGTTCCCGAGATCGGTACTGCACCAGGTCGCCCAAGCTTGCAGAGGCGCGAAGGAGGCCACCGCGCTTCTCGTGGTCTTGGCCGGAGGGATGCGTGCAACACTGGGGCCCGGAGTTCGGCCGCGCGCAGGAGTGGACGTTCGCAAGGGTGACCGTTTGGTGCCGGGCCAAATGGGGCGCTCCAGAAAGGGCTTCGCTTTCGAGGATCGAAGGAGTTGCCGTCTCTTCCGCGGCGGAAGGCGGCGGAAGCTCGGCGGAAGCTCAGCGGAAGCCGGCGGAAGCAAGAGTCGACCTCCCAAGAGATGGAAACATTTTTGGGTTCAGGGCTTCCGGGATCGGTCAAGTTGAACCCCCTATCGCTGAATGCGATGCGATGGCAGCGGCTGGCGCGCCTGGCGGCTGGCGCGCCTGGCGGTGTCCCCAGAGGGCCCCGCGTGGCCGTTTTGGGCGTCTCTTGGGCCGTGTTGGAACCCTCTTGGGCTGTGTTGGGGCCCTCTTGGAGGCCTCTTGGGCCGTCTTGGAGCGATTTGGGAGCTTCCAGGGCCGTCTGGGAGCGTCGGAAGCCGAAAAGGCGAGAACGCCAAAATCCGCCAGAAACGTATGGAAAGTCAATGCTGTTTGCCTCTGGGAGCCTGATTGGGGCGTCTGAGGTGGCAAGATCAGAGTGCGGGCTGACGGAACAGGAGGCGAAGCAGGTCGGAGAGCCCAAAGACCCCAGGTCGGGGGGCGCCGACTTTACGCCCACGTCGATCCTGGCCAGGCCCATCCTGGGCCCAGGATCGGTCGTCGGCGCCCTCCTACAAAAGGTGATGAGTACTAGGTGCTGCGCAATGCGATCGTTTTTTATTCACTGTTTTGCCGATCGGCACGGGCCGTCGCACCTCCTCCCCTCGCCCATCCCCTTGGAGCAGATCTTGGCTGTTTTTTGGGGCGCCTGTTCCGAGCAGGTGGAGGAATCCCTCCCCCGCAGGACGCACTGCTGCAAGCAGTCGCATCAGGCAGAGGTCCCGAGCCAGACCCCCCTCGCCGCCCCCTTTCGGCCCAAAAGTCGAAACGCCGGAGAAGAGAACGTTCACAATGTGCCATGTGTGATGGGCGGTGCCCTGCAAGGCTGCTGCCCTCCAGTGTGACGGCGCGGAAGCGCTCAAGTCGGGCGTGTCCCTCCACAGGGGGAATATTCAAAAAGAGTCAAAACATAGTCTGGGGACGATTAATGGACTATTTTTGAATTTTTGGGGGGTATGTTTTGAGTGTTTTTATGTGTCGCCCAAACTCCCCCTGTATGGGGGACACGCCCGACTTCAGGAGACGCCGAGGCGGCCGCGCCCCCCCTTCGGAGCGCGGGGCCCGCGGAGCCCGGCGGCCCCTGGACTGCACCCTGGGGAGAGAGGGGCCCTCCACGGGGTGAGCCCAGGAGCCTCACGAGGGGCCCCACCGCCTGTCGCGAAATCATCGGAGGAGGAGGAGGAGGAGGACCAGTGCAAGCCCAAGAGCCGTCAGCGATGTTGGAGTCAACCCTCCCTCCGAGCTCCCTCCTCACAGGCCCCCTGGACGGCACCCTGGGGGGAGAGGCCCTCCACAGGGTGAGCCCAGGAGCCTCACGAGGGGCCCCACCTCCTGCCGCGAAATCACCGGAGGTGGTTAGCCCTCCTACCCTGACACGTCGATTATGAAGGAGTTGGCCGTTCTCGGTTCGCGAGAGGGCGTGTCGCGGCCGTCATGCTTGCGGGTCCAGGTCCGTCGGTTTCGGCCCCAGGCCGATTTCACGAAAGGGAGGTTTACCAAAGGGAGGTTTGTCCACCGCCGAACATAATCGGAGGAGGAGGAGGAGGAGGAGGAGGAGGACCAGTGTAAGCCCAAGAGCCGTCAGTGATGTTGGAGTCAACCCTCCCTCCGAGCTCCCTCTTCACAGGCCCCTGATGACGGTTCATTGCCATTGAGGGAACTGCCTCGTTGGAAGACAACCGTTTGAAGATCCTGAAGCATGCCAAAACAGTGTGCTCGGGATTTCAACGCCACGTATCAGCCTGACTGCTGCGTTCTGGCGATCCGGAATCGTGTCATAACGCTTTTTTATTTGAACAGTTCGAATCAATTTAACTATTGCACCCACAAAATCGTGAATCCTTCCCAAACACCATTTTTGGTACGCTCATCATGGGAATGCAAATGTTTAAAACGAGTGTGCGCGGCGCTAAGGCGAGAGCCCCTTTTTGAAAAGGAACCGCCCTCAATCCGCGAAGCTCTTCAATTTAAAACAAAGAATGTGCGCGGCGCTAAGGCGAGAGCCACGTTTTGAAAGCGACCCGCCCTCAATCCGTGCAACTCCTGCTAATTTTTTAAACGAATGTGCGCGGCGCTAAGGCGAGGGCCACATGTTGAAAACGGCCCGCCCTCAATCCGTGAAACTCTTGCAAACGTGTACAAAGAATGTGCGCGGCGCTAAGGCGTGAGCCACATGTTGAAAACGGCCCGCCCTCAATTCGCGAAACTTCTGCGAATTCTGAAAACGAATGCGCGCGGCGCTAAGGCGAGAGCCACATTTTGAAAACCACCCTCCCTCCATCTGTGAAACGGTTGTCAGTTTTTAAGCCTCAGAGTCATTAGTGGTGAAGAAGTCTCAGGCGAAACGCCCGGTCCGCCCTAAAAACTAGCTTCGGGGTGCGACAGGGAGAATCTATGTAGAAGGAGAAGGAGAGAGGAGGGGGGAGGAGGGAGGAGGAGGGAGGAGAAGGGAGGAGGAGGGAGGAGAAGGGAGGAGGAGGGGGGAGGAGCGACCTTTGGGGGCCCTCGTTCGGCCCCAAGGCCGTCCCCAGGGAGGGGCCCATACTTCTGGGGCTCCACGAGGCGAAAAAATCATGACGTCGGGAGTCTTGGAGCTGGGGGACAGACAAATTCCACTGGGCCCACGAGGGGGCCACGAGGCAGGAGGGGCTGCTCAACGCTTCGAGGAACCGAGAAGAGCCTGCCCTCACCACTGGCCAGCCCCCCTTGATGGCGGTCGTCAGCAGCCGCGGCTTCGCCGAGCAGCTCACGAATGCCGCGAGGGGCCACGGGCCAGCGAGTCTGGGGCCGTCTGGATGGGGCTGGGGCAAATAGGGCCGGAGGATCGCGCCGCATCGCCGATGCATCGACGGTGCGGTGCCAGCCATAGCACGACCTTCTCCGTCACGCCGTCGCTGATGGATCGCCGACGATTCGGCGATGCAACGCGATGCTCCGACCCCATCCTCTCTGGCCCTATCTGGGCGGCCTCAATCCGAGGAGCAGCGAGGGGGTCGCGGGTCAGGAGAGCCGAAGAAGGAGAAACTGGTCAAACATAAGATTTCGAAGGTCCGCGCGGACCGCTGAAACTTTATGCTGGTGTAGCCTGTCTTCTTCCAGAGAGACCACGAGGCAGGGGCACGCGAGAGCAGCTCGCGTGCCCCGCTTGGGCCGAGGCGCGTGGCACGCGGGGGCGAGAGCGAGGGAGGGCCGTGTGCTCAACGGCGGGGACGGGTGGCTCACACCCCACGGCCGCGCCCTGGCCTCCTTCGTCTCCCGGTTCTATCCTGCTCCCTCCTCCTCGTCCTCCCCCTCTTCCTCCGCGACCGTGCGTTCCATTGCGTTCTAGGTACAGCCCAGGGCACAGATGTTGCCGCTGACGGGCGCCCTTCTCGCCTCCCCGTCGTCTCCTCCTCCTCCTCCTCCTCCTCCTGCTCCTCCTCCTCCTCCTCCTCCTCCTCCTCCTCCTCCACCTCCTCCTCCTCCCCTCTGCACTGCAGCGTCGTCGCCTTGCGCGCGCCCACCCGCGAAGGCGGCCGGGCGCGGCCATCAGAGGCCTGTTTTCATTTCGGCCTGGGTCAGGGGCTGCGGCTCGCAGGCCGGAGTGGGTTTCAGACCCTTCTGATCTCCAACCAATCGACCGTCGCCCTTGCATTGACAGGCGGGAGAGAGTGGGGGAGAACAAGGAGGCGGGGAAGAAGGAGAAGGATGAGAGGGAGGGAGGGAGGGAGGGGAGACTGAAGAGAAAGAGAAGGAGAAGGATAAGGGAGGGAAGGATTGTTGATAGGAGAGGAGGAGGAGGAGGAGGATGAGGTGGAGGAGGAGGAGGAGGATAAGGAGGACGGAGGAGGAGGAGGAGAGGAGGGAGAGAGGGAGGGAGAATGAGGAGATGAGGAGGAGGAGGAGAGAGGAGGAGGAGGAGGGGAGGAGGGGGAGGGGGAGGGAGGGAGAATGAGGAGGAAGAAGAGGGGAGGGAGAGAGGGAGGGAGAGAGGGACGGGCCCCGCCACGTCTCTGCTGCATGGAATTCTGGCGCGCCTGGGCAGAGGCGCGCTCCCGACGGGGCACCGTCGGGAGCGTGGCCTGCGAGCGCCTGCGAGGCTCAGCTCGGGGCCCCGCAGACCAGGACTC